GGCGGTTCTTAGAGGCGCCTGGAGCCTCTTCCTCTCGTGCGACGAGGAAGGAGCTACAGGCAAGGCGGAAACAGCCAGTTGACGCTTCTCTTCTCGGGTTTCCATTTTGTATGCAACTCGAGGCTGTTGGCGGCGGGTCTTTGGGGACGAAATCTACTCTGCTCTCTCTCTCTCTCTCCTCTCTCTCTCTCTCTCTCTCTCTCTCTCTCTCTCTGCTCTCCTCGTCTCTCCTCTCTCTCCCTCTCTCTACTCTCATCGTTCTCTGCTCTCTCTCCTCTTTCTTCTGCGTGCTCTCTCTCATACTCTGCTTCAATCTTTTCTCTTTGCTATTCTGGCGTCGTGGCTCTGTGCTCTGCGCTCTCCTCTCTCTCATTCCTCTTCTCCTCTCTCCTCCCTCTCTCGTCTCTCTCTCTCTCTCTCTTCTCTCGTCCCTCTCTCTCTCTCTCCCCTCCTCTTCCTTCTCTCTCTCTCTGTCTTTTCTCTCTCTCTCTCTCTCTCCTCTGCTTCTTTCTCTGCTCTTTCCTCTCTCTCTCTACTGTCCGTCTCTCTCTTCTGCTCTCTACTCCTCTCTCGTTCTCGAGTATTTTTTGGTATTATAGATCTGAGAGGCATACTGCGGGTGCAGGGCGCACGTTCGCGCCAGGAACCTTCCGCGCGTTGACTTTGCTTGCCTCGTCCTTCTCCACTGCACCGCCCCTTCCCCAACTATAGTCTTCCTTTTGAGGTTTTGGTGTCATTAGGGATGCTGTTCAAATAGGGTTGTGTCGTACTCTTCGGAGGGGTCATTCGGGGCCCTGATCCACTTGCTCTAATTGGGTATAATCCTGATCGGGAGCTTCGTATCTTGTCGTGCGTCGTTCATCTCTAATCCGTGACGTCTCTTCTGTCCTTCTTTGTTCTCCTCCGCGGTCTCTTCCTCATCTGTCTCTCCTCTCAAATTACTCCTCTCCGTTCATCTCTTCGTCTTCCGCTTTCTGTACTTTCTCTCTGCTCTCTTCTCTCTCTCTCTCTCTCTCTCTCTCTTCTCTCTCTCTCTCCTCTCTCTCTCTTCCTCTCTCTCCTCTCTCTCCTCCCTCTCTCTCTCTCTCTCTCCTCTCTCCTCTCTCTCTCTCTCTCTCTCTCTTCTGCTAACTGCTCTCTCTCTCCCTCTGCGTCTTCTCTTTGACTCTCTCTCCCTCTCTCTCCTCTCACAGCTCTCTCATCCGTCCCTCGCTCTCTCTCCGGTATGTCCGGTCTCTCTCCTCTCTTCACTCTCTCTCATATCCATTTTCTCTCTTAAATGGGGATCGAGGTAACATAACGACATGTGAGATCAATAAGAGGATCAAATGAATAAATGTTATTGAAAATATGTCATAGGTAGTCCATGATAATGATGATGGTGAGGACTTATTATGAGCAAATGATATAATCATAATTCATATTCATAACAATGATGAGTACGGTTTTGGTAGCGTGATGAGGGCGGTAGTAGCATGGATTGACGGAGGAAGCGAGTTAATCTAATATATACATATTCGATAGATGGGAAAAATTAGATATTCAGTAGTGCGATATCAGATGGAGTTATGGAAGGATGACAAATACAAATAAAAAAAAGGATAATGCCAGTGGAGACAGAGGGAAGGGACGAGCAGGAAACAAACCAAAATCCAAGAAATATTTAGCAAAAGGAAATGAAACGAAAGGCGCCAGAGGGATAAACTCATCAAAAATCCCCTCAGTGTGTAAAGAATTCCCATATGCCATACCCTTCTAATAGGATGCGGCGAAAAACTTTCGCGAAGGAGTAGAATTAAGATACGTAAGTTAAAATAACGCATGCGGAGTAGTCGGTCTCCCTCTGTTTTAAGACTGTCTGTTTTACTTGCATTTTAATTGAAAGTTATTGATTTCAACAAATTTCTTGATTCATTAATTATTTGATTGATGTGTAGTAGATTGATTTTGGATTAAGTTGAAAGGGAGATTATTCATTATTTAGAGGGGGATGATGCATGGAAGAACTCCATGCGAGGGGTAAAGAGGTGAGAGATAGACTTGGTGTAGACTTTCTCTCTCTTCTCATCCTTGTGTCATTCCGTTCTACTCATTTACTCTCTCTCTCCGACGATACTCTATCGTCTATCAATTTCTCTATCTCTCTGTGAATTTCTCTCTTTTCGCTCATCTTCCTCTCAACCTCCTTTCGCCTGTCTCTTCTATCTGCCTGTCTCTCTCTCTCCATCTCTCTCTCATCTCCTTGCTCTCTCTTTCTTTCTTCCCTCTCTCTCTACTCTCTGTCTCTCTCTCTCTCTCATCTCGGGTTCAGTCTCTGCGTTCTCTTCGTCCTCTCGCCCCCTCTCGTCTCCTCTCTCTCGACCTTCTCCTCTCCTCTCTCTTCCTCTGTCCTCTCTCTCTCTCTGCTCTCGTCGCCTCTCTCTCTCTCTCTCCTCCTCTCTCTCTCTCTCTCTTGCTCTCTGCGTCCTCTCTCCTTCTCTCTCTTCTCTCTCTTCTCTCTCTCATTTAATCTTTCTCTCTCTCTCTCTTTCTTCTTCTCTACTCTCTCTCTCCCCTCTTCGTCTCTCTCTCTCTCTCTCTCTCTCTCTCTCTCTCTCCTCCTCTTCCTCTCTCTCTCTCTCTCTCTCTCTCTCTCTCTCTCTCTCTCTCTCTCGTTTGTTAATCCATCGACGCCTGCATGATGCCGCCAGTGAGCCAGAGTGCCCAAAATGCGGCTTATCTCTGGGGTGCCAAAGGGGGGGGGCAGGGGATGGCCGAGGGGGAGGGGGGAAGGGAAGAGCCGTGCCAAATGGGTGAGGATGGAAGGAGGAGGGAAGAGGAGGAGGAGATAAAGAAGAAGAGAGAGAGAAGAGGAAAGATAAGGATAATGAAACAGGGAGAGGATAGGGGCGAGAAAGAGAAAGGGGCCGATAGGCAGAGGGTGCAAAAGGGAGCGATCAAGCCCTTCTAAATATGAATTGTTTCTGCTTGGCGAGCATTGGGGGGGAAGGGAGAGACGGGGGGGGGCGAAGAGGAACGAAGGGTGAGAGAGACAAATACATATATGATACCTTCTATGGAAGTAAGGGGAGAGGAGATAATGGTAGGGTACATATGATTGGGGAAATGTGAATGAATATAAACATGTGGGGAATAGTATTACCCTGATTTAGTAACAATGGTAGTAATAAGGCATTATAGGAGCAGTACCAGAGAGAAAGAGAGAGAGAGAGGGGGGGGGAGACAGAAAGGAGAGAAGCGAGAGAGAGAGAAAGAAAGGAAAGGATAGAAAGGAGAGGAGCGAGAGAAAAGGAGAGGGAGAGAAAGGAAAGGATAGAAAGTAGAGAAGCGAGGATGAGAGAGAGAGAGAAAGAGAGAAAATGAGTGAGTGTGTGTGAGAGAGAGAGAGTGAGAGAGATAATAATCTTTATTTCCAA